CACACACAAACACACACAGACACAGACACACACACACACACACACACACACACACACACACACACACACACACACCGCATTGAACTCAGATCCTATCGTACCCTGAAAAATGATTGAAATTTAAAGAATGAAAGCACACACACTTTCTCTTTCATATCGCACAACGTACAATACCCATTGTAATACTGTGTTTGTTTTCAAATTACTCTTGTTTTTATTATAACACTTCAGTCCCATATCTTTCCTCTCTCTCTCCCCTCGCGTTTCCCTTCTCTCGGTTGATATCCCGAAGCGTTTCCGCACGGGGAAGCTCTCGTTCAAATCTTCTTCCGAGCATTTTTAACTTCAATTGTCTGATGACTTTTATCTCTCCCCACCCAGTAAGCTCGTCATACAGGGTGGGCCATAAAGAACTCCCACGTTTTGAAAGAATATAAAAAAGAACACAAATATTCAGACAAAAAATAAATGATATTATTTTTCTAAAAACTCCATTTAAAAAAACAGTTTATTTCACTGGGTTATAAAACGACAACACTGGGTTTTAAAGCTACTACCGCTGCTTAACAACGTTAACATAACAACAAAGCTGCGAAAGTTACTGTACCAATCCATAATGGGCTAAAACAAAAGACAGAAATGATGACGTATAGAACCCTATTTAAAAAAAATAGAGCAGTTAATGATGAATCCTAAAACGGTGGAGTTTAGCCTTCCAAATGAAACGTGCCTCGCCTCTCCAGGCTCCACTTCTACGAAAGCCGAGGAGGTGCCCTATACAACTGTGGATCTTTATGCATTACTTTGTATAAGATTAAGAGACTCTAGTGTCAGTGTTAAGTCGTCCCCCGCTCTGCCGTTTCGATTAGCCCTTGTACGAGGAAGCAAAAGAATGAATTTTCATCATAATTTGTCACACTCTTTTTCCCAGAACCACGCCGACATGGAGTGGAAGTTCGCAAGATCCAAACTCTGGATGGGTTATTTCGACGAAGGATCAACCCTACCTTCCCCGTTCAACTTGATCATCAGCCCGAAATCAGTGTACTATCTGGCTATGTGGATGAAGAAGCTTGTCTTCTGCTGTGTCTGTCGCAGACGGCCAGACTACGCCACAAGACGCAGAAAGTCGTCGGAGGGAACCATTCGGGTGAGAGAGTAGAATCTACAGTAGTTCATAATTCCGTCGGTAATGTAATGGCGAAGGGTTGCCAGTTTGGTAGATTTCTGACTAAAGGTAATAATTTTAGCCGTTTTTAAAGTTGTTTGACGAGAAGAAAGTCTCTTAGCCATTTAACAGCGGAGGTGAGGGGAGGTTGGCAGTTTTCTTTACTTTTGTTTTATTCTTGTTATCATCTGTAATATGTACATCCGTGAACATCTATAAGCATTGCCGACATCTGCTGATGATCGATGAAAGTTTGCTTTTACATCATGTAAAACACAATCATGTAAAACACAAACATATCGTCCATGGTGGAGTTTGGCAGTGTTAGGCAAATTTTGGTAGTTCTTTTCGCACCAACTAGATTGGAAGCCTGAAAAATTATCTGGCAACCGTGTAAAAAAAAAAACAAGTGCCTGTCACGACAATTAATATCAATGAGGAAAAATTCCCAGCGAGAATTTAATACCACTGTGAAAGGAGGACATTGCATAATTGTCAATCGATTACTTTTAAAGCCTGTTATGGAAACCTGAGAGAGAGAGAGAGGGAGAGAGAGAGAGAGAGAGAGAGAG